AGCTGGTTTATCTATATCTGTCGTGTACAGCTGGTTTATCTAACACACCCCTCCTGTGTAAGAAGGACGGAGATTCCTTGATTCCACATGTCATGACAGTGAGTTCTCGGAGAGATTCAAAGAGTTAAATACACCTGGCATGGAACAGTCATGACTAGAGAGGGGGTGGGGGAAATGTGAGGATCTTTGCAAGCGTCTGAGGGGTTCAAGGCTCTGAAGAAGTTTTTTTGGGAGGATGGGGGTGGGGGGAGGTGAGAATAGGTTGAGACTGAGCCAAGGCAAAGGACCTCAAGAGTCTTCCACCTGCACTGTGAGCCTGGGGAGTCATCTCCCAAAGTGGGGCCAGAGCCCCATTCGAGAGCACAGGGAACTAGGAGCCATGGGGAATGGATAGGGGGATGCTTCTAGCCTAGGCCCAAGGGGCTGCATGGGGAGATGGGATCTGAGGGAGAGTAGCAGGCACTGTCCCCAAGCAGACCCCCATGTGGCCCTGCAGTTCCCCTGCCTGCGCCGCCCCCCTACCCTCCTTGGGTCTTGCAATGGTTTACTCCCAGATCACAGTACTTAGACCAAGATTACCCCTTTACTGGCTTATTTATTAACTTTTGAACAGAGCACAGAACTCTTTAGCTCCTCACCCCCACCCCTCTCCTGGGAGCCTGTGTGCTAATTCAGAGACAGGCCCCCTCTCTTAAAAGGTCAGGAGTCCCAGAGCCCTAATCAGCTGGGAGAGAAGGGAGCCTTGCCTCCACCCAGGGCTGTCCCTACCTATAAGCAAAGTACGCAGCCATGTGGGGCACCAGGAAATTTGGGTGCCCTATGCAGCTGCGTGCTGCTCCAGCCCCTGATCTGCCTTTTCCCCATGGCCCCCACCCTACCTCTTCCCGCCCCTGCTCCACCCCACCCCACCCCGACCCCCACCCCTTCCCTGAAAACTGCAGCAGGGGCCAGGTCTGCCTTGCACTCACCAGGTGGCAGGAAGTGGAGCGACTCAGCCCCAACCCGCTTGTGCTCGCGGGTGGTTTCCTCCCTGCTCCCTAAGCCTGCTCCTGCCCCCGGGCGGAGGCCGGGGGCCGCCCATGGCCCCCTCACGGGGGGGCTGCATAGGGCACCAAAATGGATTGACTGATGCCTAGACTCTCTACTGCCCTTAAAGGGGACGGAGCACCCTTGTTACCGAGGCTTTCCCAGCTCAGATTGCTATGGCTCTTCCTGGGTCAGGACTCACCGCTCCCGCTGTTGGTGACTATGCGGTAATAAGGCTCTTCGCACCGGTAGGTGATCACTGACTGGTAGTAGTTGTTCCCGTGTTCACTAACATAATTGAAGGCCCCGTTGGTGAGATTTTTGGGGTGACCACAGCTCACAACTACAAACGAGAACAAGGAGAGGAGTCAAGGGGAAGCCACAGTGCTCACTGCAGCAGTGAGGTTCAGAGACTCATGCTGGACTCAGCTGGAGCCCATGATGTGAGGGAGGGATGGGGACTGTCCAAGAGCCCACTGGAGGGGATGCAGCTCCAGTCCCCTCTTGGCAGAGATTAGAGTTGCTTGGAAAATGGAGAAAAAGGCACACAAAAATTCAAAGTTGTT